CTGATTATTTGCAAAAAGAAGTATTTATGTTTCAGTTGTAGTTTGTTAGTTTGATCAGCTCTGTTCCATATACTGGGGCCATAGCTAAAAACACATCAATAAGACCTATTAACCTGTGGCTCTCTGAGCTCCAGCTATAGTGCGATGATAGGATGGATCTGACAGTTGAGCAAGTGCCATAAAACTTTAAAAACTAATTAAAACAGGTTCCTGTAGTAGACAGGAAGTCTGGAGGCCTTTATTTATTTATTTATTTACCTGACCTTAAAAGTGACCGTCTCTGCTGATGGATGGTGACTTGTCCAGATTGACCTTTGGTCTACTGATTGCTGGGATGGGCACCAGCCTGTTCAGTGAGTAAAAACAGATGGAGGAAGGCACATATGCATAACTGTGTACATAAATAGAATCAAACTTATTTAGAAACAAGTGCAATGTGCATCAATGAAGATGAAGATGTGATGCCTCCATCGTGTTTGTAGCACACAGGAATCAGGTTCCACATGTCAGTGGTGTGTTTTAGAGCTTCAAGCCTGCAAATGTTTTTATTTCAGTAAACAAACTTCTAAAAAAAACGGTTGATATTTAATTGCATATTGTGCAAGATAGACAAACCAGCAGATAGCACGGTTTCTGATGAGTGTTTTCACAAGCGGGTGGAAGCAAGTGAGTCAGCGTGGAGGTGCAGTAACACCTGTCACTGTGTCTCATTCTTTGGCAGCTCCATCGCTCAGGGCCCATAACGGCTGCCAGAAGAAAAGAGAATTCTGGGCTACAGAGCTCGGCAGACTTGGAGGATGGTGGCTGATTGTTTCCATGTATTCATTCCTGTGTGAGTGTTGGTGTTTGATGGATGTTGCAATCAGCAGAAAAGCATTGTGCCAGGACGAGCAGCAGGAGATGGTGTGATATACCAGGAACAACGGTTGTTAGTAAGCTGCTCCCTAATGAAAGAGTGAACTCACAGTCAAAAGTCAATTAGCCTTTGAGGGAAAGTGGGCTGCTAATAAGAGTTGGAAGAAAAGTTTTTTTAATGGTCAAGTGGAATTAAACATCAGAAAGTGTGTTTTTCCCTTAAAGTTGTTTTGTTTTCTGATTGTTATAAGGAATAAGGATTGCTATAAGAAACAGATTCATGAAGATGTTCAGGGGTTGTTTATTTTTAACTGACTTCTTCATTTTACCACCCAAAAGAACAAAAAGCCTTCCCATGGAAATTGGTTTTGGCACCAGCGTTTAAAGACTAGAAAACAAGTAGAAATATTCTGTATTTGTTCTTATTTAATTTAAAAGTTGATGCTGCAGACAGACGCAAACAAGAAAAGGTTCATTTCTAAGTTGTCTCTTCTTGTCAGTGTTCCAGGATCTTATATTTTACGTTTAGTTTACACAATTATTACTAATTGTTGCTTGACCTGAACACTTCTTCCTGCTTCCCAACACAGTGAAATGGTGTAGCTTACAGACAGACTGCCATTTACTATAGCTGTATCTGTGTCCTGAATAGGGTCCTGAGCTGTTGTCCATCTCCAGCGGTCCCTAGGGTTGGGGGACACCCTGGACAGATCACCAGTCCATCACAGTGCTACATAGAGACAAACAAGACATACAACCCTTCACACACTCAGTCACATGCAATCCAACCTAAAATGTTTGGGAGGAAACCACAGTAGAAGGAAACACACACATGCACGGGGAATCCCCATAGAAAGCTCGCAGCTGGGTTTCGAACCTGTGACCTTCTTGTTGTGAGGCAACAGAGCCAGAAACTGCACCACCGTGCAGCCCCAAGAATGTATCTGAATGGTAACTTGTGTTGAGCAGCAAACCACCAAATAAACACTTGTATAGAATATGACTCATTCTATTAAATGTTTTTATTAACATACTATTTAACCTTTATTTTACCAGGACAAATCCCACTTAGATGTTTTTACAAAAGTGATCTGACCAAGAGGCCAGCAGACCTAGTCAAATATAAAATTATTGATGTTTGAATTTACTGGACATTTGAAACAGATTTAGATTACCCAGTGCAGTGAATAGGAATCAGAGTAACATAAGCACTGTTTAGTGGAATCATCAATTATTTAGATTAGAATAATGACACTTCGTGAGATGAGATCAGACATTTTTAGTTTGGACTGTAAAGTACTCTCGGGAGATGGGGCGACAAACCTGAATGCTTGTGTTTGGCTGGACCAGTCTGAGCTCTGGGGATCACATGATAAATGTCAGTCGAACACAAAGCATCACGAATACTAGTTGTTTGTAATAGAGAGCGTCAGAAAGCTGAGACCGGATAAACAGCCTTACGGGTCAGATAATGGATAAAACTTTGTATACTCAATTGAAGGCCACTCAACTTTGGCAAACAAACCACACTGATGGGTAAAGCATGCAGTGTGTTAATGCTTCAAGTGCAAATCTGCAAAACAAGCTAGCTTAGAGAATTTTCTTCTTCTTTATTTTTAAATGAAGAGGTTCAATTGCACATGTCTAAAAATCTCCACCAATAACACGGCTCGGACCAAAACCAACTAGTGGACCACTTCCGCATTTACCTTCCCTGGGTTATACATTCATTACGCACTTGTGTATTTAGCAACAGAACACCACTGGTGTGAGAGGTTCTCCACTCAATATTATCAGAGAAGGAGAAACCGCCAGCTGCTACCACTTCAACTTTAGGACAAACTACCAGAGTCCCCAAAAGAAAAACACCATATGAAGTCACAGACAACCAAAGACGTTTGGACCTAGAAAGCAGTGAGCAATGGTGGTTCGTCCATAGCGGGTGCTAGGACGCCACCCCACTAGTCACACATGAAGAAGAAAAAGACAGAAATCACAGAATATGAAAAACAACATGAAAATTAAGCTAAACAATCTAAAGACCATACAGTTGATGAGCTGTTGCACATGTGATTCAACCACTGAATCAAGTGACACCACTAAAACATGTCGGATACCAGCCCATGAGGCCCAGAGTTGAATAACCCTGTCATACAAACTATAAGAGCTGTGTACAATCTGCATTTGTGTAGTTTAAAATGTTATTTCACACTTTTACCACAATTGAATCATCCTGTGATGTACTTCCTGTTCCTTTTGGGCACGGCAATCTTTACCATAGACATGCACTTACTGGTGTATGCATGCTGGATCCTCCTCCAATACAAAGAAGAGGAGAGTCGTCGGGCGCAGAGGTATTGCGACTGTGAAAACATGCAGAAGAGCGGCGAGTGCATTATTGTGGAGCAGAAACTCTCTGAAAACCTGTCCTTCAGAGTGAGTTTCTGCTTGTTAAGCAAAAATAGATAGCTACAGCTTACAAGCTTGACCCTACCGTATTGACCCTTTGCACCGACGTCACCTAATCACGTGGGTCCACCATGCTGGATGGCAAAAGCATGTAAACAGTGAGCGACACGATTACTAAACAAAGGGAAAAGTAGAGCCTGAAATTGTTTTTGTGATCAAAACAAAAACAAACTCCTCCAGCATTCCTTCAACTAGTTCATGCCCAGTTCAGTTATCAGAAGAAGTAGCGCATCTAGCGGGGGCTCATGGAGAGTGGTATGTTAACTAGCTTACCAACGTTAGCTTACGTTCTCTCTGCAGCTGTTCACCGATGTAAACATGTTGCTAACTTTGCCTAAATTCACCCCTCTGGATTTATAACTTTATGTTATAAACAGCGTTTCACTTTACACCAAAGCTGATTTTTTAAAAGTCCGGATCCCTACCAGCTTCTGTTGCTGGTGGTGTTACCGCGTTCAGCTGCTGCTCTCACACCGGAATGAGAAGATCTCTGAACGCCGACACTCATATAAATTAATAACATAATTTTAACACGCGTAATCATACATCGGAGCTTTAATATTGTTACTAATCGTCTCGCTTTACACTACAGTGGACGGAGTGCAGCCTCCGTGGTGAAATACCCATCCATCAGGATTATCAATAACTTGTATAAACACATCACATTTATCCCTGTCCCTGTCCCTGTCTTCCTCGTGAAATAAATGAACGTTAATCTTTCCCAGTAAAAACATGTTCGCTGCAAATCTGAGGGCTGCTAGTCAGCTTGATTGATTGATCGCTGCAGTTCATCTCCGTCCTCAGTCTCCATCAGTCATTAAAAAGAAAAAACGAGTTGAGTTTACGTCCTTGTCTCTTAGTGCAGCCAACCAAGCAAGCTAAAACCATTTTACTGTCAAATCAACTAAATAAAAGTGATAAAAGGCTACAAACTGGCTTGTTTTGACTACCTTCACTGGAGTTTCTACGGGTGTAAACTGCTTTTTTGCCGTCCATCATGGCGAAGGGGGCGGTCACATGAGTGGTGTGACGTCACGTGCAAAGGGTCAATGCCAGTCCAAATTGACAAAACTCCATGGATCTTTTCACTTTTCTACCATTGTTACTGCAAAACATTGACATTTTTCTTAGTTTAAATAATTACAAAGTCATTCCCAAATTACATCTGAAGAGACAAAAGCTGGTGTTTGTAGTTGAATCAGCACACGCTTCAGCATTTCTTCAGAGACGTTCTAGCACGCCTTTGGTCTTTCACCCTCATGTTGCTGTCTGTCCACCAGTGTGAATGCTCTGCAGCTTTGAAGTGAGCGATCTCTGAGGAGGCTTCTCAGATTTTCTCTAGGGCCAACACTCACTGTGATGTTTAAGCAGGCACACATGCAGCTCAAGTCTTATTTTCTACTTCATCTACAAACGCCGAATGTCTCCCTGGTGAACTTCACTGCATAATGTGCCATTAAACCAACAATACAGTATGTTAATGAGTGTCTGTGGGGGGTGGAGAGCTGTTTGGCAGGAAGAAAAATAAAAGAGGCAGAACATGAGAAGAACAGCATGAGATAATTTATTCAGTCATTCCCCTGCAAAGCTCCACTTCACCTTTGTTCACCTCAAACTGCCTTGCCGCCGATTGACAGCCTCCGTAATTACTTTGTGTTGTTTTCTGCCCTTTGCAGGGGGATGCTGGTGCTGAACTAGTCCTGGGATGCCAGGAGGGAAGGAAAAAACAGGACAACTTCTATATTTGAATTCCTGTTCTCGTCAGGCACCCTCCTGCAGTCTACTTCTGAAATCCTTGATGCTCTGAACCTTTTTCAGGTTTTCCTGTTCCTCTTCCTTCTCCTTCAATCTGTCAGCTCAGCTCTGCTCCCACACACACTTTGACTCTCCTGGGAGAAGTTCAGCAGCTGCCTCAGGGCTCTGGTCCTGTTGAACTCTTGACCCCTAACATCTTTCCCCGTCCCTGCTATGTTCAACGATAGCCCCATCCTCGGTGCCTGGGAGGCCCCAGACTGGGCAGACACACCACAGTGCCCACCATCGGTAGGCGGAGCCACTTTTCTGATTGTGGCATACAGTGTTGTCATAGCGATTGGGTTGTTGGGCAATGCAGGCTTAGTATTCATCATCGCCCGGCAACAGGAGTTGCGCAACGTCACCAACATCCTGATCGCCAACCTGTCATGCTCGGATATTCTCATGTGTGTGGTGTGTCTGCCGGTGACTGTGATCTACACACTGATGGACCGCTGGGTGCTAGGAGAGGCCCTGTGTAAGGTCAGTGGGTCACACCATCTCCAGACCTATCTTGTAAAAAACATTTAGTGCACAGTACAAAGTTAGCCAAATTTTCGGCAACAATTCATTGGCTACGGAGGTGTAGTTGGTCAGCTCTCTTGCATCGCAACAAGAAGGTCCCAGATTAAAACTCGGCACGGGTCTTTTTATGTGGAGTTTGCATGTTTTCCATGTTTTAATAATAACAACAGACCAGTGACTAATGGAAATTAGCACCAGGGGTTACAGAAAGCTGGTAGATCGTTTGCTTTTATTTATCAGGAATGTAAAGAAGCTACACTGCCCTTTTCTGTTTGTAACTGCAAAACTATCGATGTTAGTTAAAGCTGATGAAATCTGACCTTCCTTCAGCTGCAACAAAAATGAACTGCTGGATCCCCCTCCTCTCAATTTCGGATCTACGCAACTCAGAAACTAGCAATACTAATCAAACCCCTAAAATCTTCACATCCTAGAACTCAAACCTGATCCTGCTTTAGGTTGTTTGCCTGTTTCTACCAATGACATTTACAATTCGTATTACCTTGTAACTGAAGCCAAAGCAAGCCACACACCCCCAGTTGCAGATTCCAGTTCAAGATTTTGCCTAAAATAATAAAATGCTTGTAATTGTTTTGTCACGTGTTTAGGAGTGGCCTGACCATAACATGAGTGTGATTCATCCTCGTCAGACCGCAAGCAGCAACAATACACAAAAGAGCATTTTCTGATTATTTTGTTTGAACGGTAGCACTGGGTATGGAGATGGGTGTAACTCCAGGGTTAGGAATAGGGTTGCCTAAAACAACAAACAATTTGGGAACTGTAGCACTAATGTATACACTTAAAATAAAAATAAACCAAATGACAATATTTTATCTCACTAAATACAGGTGCAAAATTTAATCTAAATAAAGATCACATTTCATTTAAAGATCACTTATTTCAGCCTTTATTTGTTATAATTGTGTTGATTATTGATCAAAATCTCAGACAACTAGAATACTGTGAAAAGGTTCAAAAGACTCAATGTGTCACATTCTCAGAGGTGGAAATTACATTTACTCACGTTACTGTGATTGAGTAGCTTTTTTGTGTTATTAATAATTTTTAAGTCGTTTTCAAAATCTGTACTTTTACTTTTACTTTTACTTGAGTATGTTTTTAAAAAATAATTGTAATTTGCTACATTTTAAATCATATCCGTTACTGAGTAAAAATAAATTATAGGCTTAATAAATTAAAACTCTTATGTGTAGCAGTGTCGGAACAGAAAGAGACACCTGCATGAGCGCTGCGTCTAAACCGTGGGGGGGGGGGGGGGGGGGGGGGGGTTTAACACTTTTGATAATAAGGACAAACCGCCATTTTTACCACAGTTTTGCTCAAAAACATCAGTTCAGTCCCTGTGATCCACTTGGTGATTACCTCCTCTCCTGTGGGTTGGAACCCGCACCGGTGTTACATCATCAAAATTCTGCTCAGTTTGGTAGCTGGACTCGGTTCCGTGTTTGAAACGTGTTTCTCTACCGCTCCGCACGGAAGCGGCAAAATAACGTTTAGCGCTCATAACAAGCGGATTCTCAGCGCTCTGCTCATAAAACAGAAGACCTGCAGGCCTCTGTGAGTTAAAACATCCTGATACTGTTCAGGTATAAACATTGTGCTCCATCCCTGTGTTTGAACTCAGAAGTTGCTTCTTGATGCCACAGATATGTGATGATTTAGATTGTTTCTTTAATTTTCTCCAGAATAAGAGATTAAATTATTACAAAAAGCAGTTTAATGTAGTTTAATTAGTCATTCAAATGATTCTAAAATGCTGCAGTGGGTGTGTGTGTGTGTGTGTGTGTGTGTGTGTGCGCGCGCACACACGAGCAAATTGTGATCTGGCATTGTGATTTTGCACTACTTGGATGTAGCCATCCTTACGCTGACAAAAGTGTATCTAAGTAACTTTTACTTTGAGTACATTTTATTTATGATACTTTTTACTTTTACTTGAGTAAAAATTTAGGCAACTACTTTTACTTGTACTTGAGTAAAAAAAATTATCAAAGTATTGGTACTCGTACTTAAGTAGGACATTTTAGTACTCTTTCCACCTCTGCACATTCTAATCAGCTAATTAATCCAGAACACCTGCCAAAGGCTCCTGAGCCTTTAGATGGTCTCTCAGTCTGAGTGGAATCACTGAAATAAATGCACCATATTCTAATGTTTAAAGTTTCACCTGTAAGCATAATGAGGAAAAAACTGAAGTAAAATAAAAGGCAGTTTATACATACAAACTCCTCAAGGTGTCACTTTTGTTCACATAGATGTCATAACACTGAAGGTGCGGCTGGTTGGGATGAGTTTCAGGTCCACCAATCATGGACGGGTACCTGCACGCTCAAATTTGTATCTGAAAACCAAAGACAGCACCTCATGACAGCAACCGTAACACCTGTCTTTCAGATGGCATGCAGCTCCTCCTCTTCTGAAGGCTAGACTCCACACTGGTCTAATTATAAGCAAGTACAGACAGAAGAACTACGGTAACGTGGGTTGTTAAATGACGTGCCACCATTATTCCTTAATCTTATTATTCCTTTCTGAGGCCCTTTGTGGAGCTGCATGTACGTGGTGCTTTTGTGAGGCATTGATGCTTCTTAAAAAGCAAATTATTCTAAATGGTGGGTGTTCAAACCCAGGCACAGGTGAAGCAGCAGAAGGCCGGCCCCTGAACTCCAACATTTTAAATAAAAACAAGGAACTAAAAATAATACACTCCTGTGGAAAACAAAACTAGGAAAAAGGAAAACACCTTTTCATATTTTGCTCAGCTGCCACACCTCTGGATTAATGGAAAAACCAACCAAACAAACAGACAAGAATATTGCTTAAATAACAGCTTTATCATCAGGTCTGTGTGTCAGCCCACGTCTCTCATCTTCCTGGGGCATTGAACCAGTCAAACCAGTGGATTAAATGGATTTAAATTCTTAACTACCTGCTTAAGTCTTGATTGTGGTATTTTGCCTGTGAGCCAGAGCTTTATGATGAAGTACTGAGAAATGAGTTGTCAGTTTAGCTGGTGATAAGCTGAAGTGGACTAAACTGTAGGTTTCAATGGTGCCTCATAAAATAAATGGTTGTAAAGTTGATGGCACACTTTGGCATCTTGGGTCTTGATGAGGAAAAAAACACAAATTGGCTCATTGGAGAAAACACAGGAGACAAACATAGCAGCAGCAGCGTTCCGATTAGGTTTACAATCAAGCCAACTTAAACTTATTATTCAGAAGTGCATCTGAGACGTGAAATGTGTGCCTGTTCTGTCCCTGTGCAGGTGACTCCCTTTGTTCAGTGCATGTCTGTGACCGTGTCCATCTTCTCCTTGGTGCTGATTGCTCTGGAGCGGCACCAGCTGATCCTCCACCCCACCGGCTGGTCCCCTGCTGCGGGCCACTCCTACTTGGCTGTGGGGCTCACGTGGCTGGTGGCCTGCTTCATCTCTCTGCCCTTCCTCTCCTTTAACATCCTCACTAATGACCCCTTCCAGAACATCAGCCTGCCCGCAAACCCCTTCAGGTGAGAGTGATGCAGAATATGAACGCATGAAAAGTACGTCTGTGGGAGGTTGAGGAGGAATACATTAATTTACATGGGATTTATTATATAGTCTTCATTTCTGAGAATATACTATCAGGTGACGATAAAGCTAATGTCATGAATGTTTAAAATGTCACATTTGAATACATTTGCAAGCTGATTTTGAAACACGTTTTTGTAACGATGAGACGAGTTTATGCCACCATATTCAGGTGCTGGTCAGAAAATTAGAATATCATGACAAAGTTCATTTACTTCAGTGAAACTTGGATATTGTATACATTCATTACACACAGACTGATATATTTCAAATGTTTATTTCTTTAATGTTGATGATTATAACTGACAACTAATGAGAATCCCAAATTCATTTTCTCAGAATATTAGAATATAAAGTAAGATCAATGAAAAATTTTTTTTAGAAATGTTGGCTAACATGAAAAGTATGAGCTTGTACTGCACTCAGCATTTACCGCACTCTGGAAAGGATTGTGAAACCAAACCCATTCAAAAATGTGGGGGAGATTCACAAAGAGTGGACTGCAGCTAGAGTCTGTGCTTCAAGAACCACCTCACACAGACGTATGCAAGACATAGTTTTTAGCTGTCGCATTCCCTGTGTCAAGCAACTCTTGAACAAGAGACAGTGTCAGAAGCATCAGCCTGGGCCAAAGACAAAAAGGGCTGGACTGCTGCTGAGTGGGTCCAAAGTTATGTTCTCTGATTAAAGTAAATTTTGCATTTCCTTTGGAAATCATGGTCCCAGAGTCTGGAGGAAGAGAGGAGAGGCACAGAATCCATGTTGCTTGAGGTCCAGTGTGAAGTTTCCTCAGTCAGTGATGGTTTGGGGTGCCATGTCCTCTGCTGATGTTGGACCATTGGGTTTTCTGAGATCCAAGGTCAACGCAGCTGTCTACCAGGAAGTTTTAGAGCACTTCATGCTTCCTGCTGCTGACCAACTTCATGGAGATGCAGATTTAATTTTCAGCACTTGGCACCTTCACACAGTGCCGCAGCTACCAGTATCTGGTTTGAGGGCCACAGTATCTCTGTTCTTGATTGGCCAGCAGACTCACCTGATCTTAACCCCGTAGTAAATCTATGAGGTATTGTGAAGAGGAAGAGGCATTACAACAGATCCAACAATTCAGAAGAGCTGGAGGCCACTATCAGACCAACATGGGCTCTCATAACACCTGAGCAGAGCCACAGACTGATTGACTCCATGCCACGCTGCATTGCTGCAGTAATCCAGGCTAACGGAGCCCTAACTAAATATTGAGGGCTGCACATGTTCCTAATTTTCATGTTTATATTTATCAGTTAGCCAACATTTCTAAAATTCCCCTTTTTTGTTTGTTGGTCTTAACTGATATTCAAATATTCTGAGATACTGAATTTAGGGTTTTCATTAATTGTCAGTTAAAATCATCAACATTAAAGAAATAAGCATTTGAAATATATCAGTTTGTGTGTTTCACTTTTTGAATCGAATTACTGAAATAAATTTACCTTTTCATGATATTCAAATTTTAAGAGCAGCACCTGGAATATCATCTCTCTTCCTCTTCTTTGCGAATTTGTAGGATTCATCTTTTTAATAATTCAGGTGTTTTTATGACAGGCGGACGACAGCCAGGTTGCTTTTTCTGATAATTTTAATGAATCTAAGCTGTTCGTTTTCAAACCCTTATTTGACAAAAAAGTATTAAGACTTATTTTGCTCTGAATCCTAAATAAAACTCTTAGTCATTGATGAAAAACTTACTGTGATGAAGGACTTAGTAGGGCCAGAAAAAAGGCACATGGACTTTGGTTATATCCTCTATGTTTTCCCTCTGATCCAAGGAGCTTTCTCATTTTAAACAGAACAGTGGGGAATACCAGGCTTTTAAACTAGAGAGAGTTATGTTTATGTCAGCTAAATCTTAAATCCACTTCTACACCAAAAGAGGCAAACTGGATGTTGAGCTCTGATATCCATTCATTTGTAGTGCATGCTCCTTGAAATAAATAAAATAAATTCTTGAAGCAGCATACTGAGCTCGCGTAACAGAAAATCTTGTCACAGTCAAAAAATCTGCCTAACTGAACCTTGACCTTGGTTTAATATCACGTGCACACAAGCTAGCAGCAGACAACAATCCCCCCCCACACACACATACACACACCCCTCCCCCACTATCTCTCTCTCTCTCACACACACACACACACATACACACACACACACACACACACACACACACACACACACACACACACACACACACACACACACACACACACACACACACACACACACACACACACACCTTTCAGCTTCTCCATTTTCTTCTCATGAGCTGTGGTATAGAGCTGCAGATACTTAAAATATTGAAGCTGTTGGCACCTAGCCTGGCCTGCCAGACTGGTCCTCTGTCTACACAGAGAAGAGTCTGGTAACTCACTGGCAGAAAGACACATGAGGGGCAGGACTAGCCAGCGCAAAAATAACCAATCAGAAAAAAAGGCGGAAATGCCGACTGGAACGCGCGATGCAGTAGTTTTTTAGCTGTAGTTAAAAATGGCTTCTGGCGACGACACAATCATCTTTCTTTGGAAGAAAGGCTTTTATCGCTTCTACTTGTTGTGGTTTTAAAGATATTCAAGTCATTTAGAACAGAGGAAAGGGCCACAGTGAACTCCGCTTCAGGTGCCATGTTTATGAGAAACTGCCGCTCAGCGCTGACTCGCTCAGTTAGAATTCTCAGGGAGTGGGGTTATTTGAATAGATGAGTTACCAGCCCCACGCTTCTGATAAGGAAGCGTGGGGCTGGCTGGTCAGGCTAGATGGCACCTTGAAGCTTGCCCACCTGAAGTTTTCTTTGCAAGTAAAACATGATTTCCATGACACATTTTGAGAACCCTACCAAAGCCTCAGGTAATCTGTGTGGAACAAAGGGTTCAGGTACCCTTACCTGTACCTGTATTACCCTCAGCTGTGGGTTCCTGTTGGCATATTTGTAGTTTGAACCTGCTAGACATCGGATGGCTGCCCTGATGATGATGGCTCATAAAGAGTCCCATTAATTAGTGCCAACATTTTCTACTGGATCGTGGCACCTTAGTTTTCCCAGTCACCCATTTCTTACTATAACATCTGGTATCTCAATGTCAAATGAACCCTCTCAGGCTCAACATAAGTTTTGATAAAAGGACAAACAACTAAGTTCTTCAGGGGCACTTCTGAGTTAAAAAATGCTCATGAAATACGTATGAGGAGTAACCAGGTAGGGTAGGTTTTAACTGTTGCAAATCTGCAACGTCTGCCTCCAGAGGGTTATGTGACCCCTGAATCAACCCACCTAAGTGTTTTTACCCTCCATGCTCTGGGGTTATCAGATTTGGTGAAAAGGAGCGCCGTGTAGTGGCTGTTCCCATGAGCTTCCTGTACTGTTTCTTGGTCAGATTGGGCTGTGGAGTCAAATGTTGTTGCTCCAGGATACTGGTGCAGTAACAATGAGGCTGATTCTGTACTCCCAACCTTTCAATTCAAAGTAAAGTGATGGTTTTGTCTATAAAAGTTTAGTTTCGAGGTTGTTTCAATATTACCTAACTAGACAGACTTTTGGGGATCAATATTCCGAACTGGGGGTATATTTCCAAATTATACCCTGTAGGACAACAGTATACCTGTATTTTTTGTTGTATTTCTCCTGGTGCATACAGTAGTTATCAATGAGAGTACCATGCTCAGGGCCAGAGGTGTGGTGCCTCATCTTTACAGCTTCTCCATAGACACTTTGATTCTCAACAAGGCTTGTCTGACAAATAGAAAAACAGCGGAAAGCTCACTTTCCGTCTAACCGTGAGCTCATCTCAGTAGTCTAGTGGAGAATAATTGACTGGCCTAATTACATCAGGACTTGTGATCCAGTGAAGCCTGTGGGAACACAATTTGATGCCAGCCATTTAAGTTGTTGTGGTGTACTGGTTTGTCCCCTGGAAGGCAGTGATGGTTACTGTCATGTGTACCAAGGTTTTTATAAGCAGTTAAAGAGGATTTTAAAGGCTGATAAAATCATTTTCTACCACTAGCAGCAGTTTATGCTCCACAGTTCTGAGTGCTACAACACACACAGAATTAGAGCTATGTGCTCAGTGGCTGGTGCAGCTGGTGTACTGGATGGTAATTACTGGATGGTAATGGTAGTTACGTACTAACCCTCAGTTCTGTGCTTGTAGCAGCATTTAGAGTGGGGGAGAACATGTTGTTGCTGGTAATAGGAAGTTCCACTTTATGGCTGTGCAACTGCATTATTTTTCTCTTGGGTTACATGTGATCTATCATGGGTGTTGACTGTTGAGTAAATATACAATTGTAAAATATTTACTGAATTCTGAAAACAGTGAATAGGAGTTTTTCTGTGGTGTGTTGTTTGGCACTAGAAAAGTGGTCCTCAAACTGCTGCCAACAACACAAAACCAGTAGTAAGCTAATTAAATATGATTATAAGTTAAACCAAGACCAGCATAAATTATTTTGTTAATTTAATATAATTATTAAAACTGTTATATTCTATTTTATCAAGCATCTCAATAATGCATTGTCACCAATCATCTATAGATAAAAGCTGGTTCCTGGAGATCTTTTCAAGCACCCATCTTTTGGTGTTTTACGATGAAAGCCTGAGTCCTCACCCCATGGAAAACCATTACAGGCTTTAACAGTTCAGTGATATTGTTAAAAGCTGGTGATGGTACACAAAGAAGGGTGTAGCACAAAGAAATCATGTGGGAGTAATAGCCATAAGTAAACAAGTTATTTACATAAGTTAATATATGACAGAGATTAACAGAGGGCATAAACCACTACTCATTATCTGTAGTTAGTGTAAACCTACAGCATCCAACTGTGACTCTTGGCGGGAATACCAAAAATAGGAAAAACCAATCATTAGGATACTATTACGAGTTCTGACCTTTAATGGGGAAGAAAA